CGGATGCATTATCCAAGACGGCGCGCTAGCGTCGGAGCTCTGTATATCCGACATGGTGGAAGCCTATCAATAGGATCCCATCATGTCTAAGATCTGTCTCTTATACACATCTAGATGTGTATAAGAGACAGATCAATAGGATCCCATCATGTCTAAGATCATGCGCAAGCTCAAGGGGTATAATAAGGTAGCGGATGCATTATCCAAGACGGCGCGCTAGCGTCGGAGTTCTGTATATCCGACATGGTGGAAACCTATCAATAGGATCCCATCATGTCTAAGATTATGCGCAAGCTCATTCTGGTCAACAACTTGCTGTTCCTTGAGAAGGCAGGGAATACAAGATTGTGTGAAATGTCTAGAGAGTCTTTAAGAGTGTCGCAATGGGGTTCAAGAAATCATCAACGAACCTATTGCAGCGTTTCTGGTGGCCCACAATGATGGATGATGCAAAAAGTTACATTGACACCTACCACGTGACAAACCAAGAATGCTGGCACCACTGGGGCTTATAAAGCCCTTGCCTATTCCGCCTGGTCCTGGTCAGAGCGTTTCCATGGACTTCCCTCAAGACCGGCAAGAGAGGCAAACGGCACATCTTCATCATCGTAAACGGATTTAGTAAGTATGGTAGACTGATGTCCCTAACTGCCAAGCCTAGTTTATTTATTTATTTATTTTAACATGTCCTTATGGTCCTGGCTCCGTATCCATTCTGGGGAGCGTCAGTCCGGTTCCTTTCCACCGGCAAGTCAAAAATTGGGATACATGGTGAACACTCTCACGATTCCTTCCATCTGGCCGAAGGATCCCTGATCAGCATTGATTGCCCCCAATCCGGACGATTGCCTGTCAGCTTGCCCTTCCACTTTTCCTCTCAGAATTCTATTGTGACTCTGTCGGCTGATTCGTGTAAAGCAAGAAAAGAGGAGATTTGTCCATACTGTTGAGATGAGAATCTCAGTTTGCCCATCACTGGTGCACTGTCCTTATTGGAGGTGTGCTATGCCATTTCTTCCAAATCAATCTGTTACGTAACTTCGGGAGGAGTGCTTTGCCAGTTTCTCATGAAAATCCACCTCTTGATGGCTATCCTTTCTGGTCTGCCTTCCGTTGTTGATGTCACCTCCCTCCATCTGGATCGAATCTCAGTTTCGGCCATTCCCAGCAACAGTACCCACATTTCTTCTCTTGCCACCTCCGTTCCTTCGATTGTCTTGGTACATCAGCCAGTACAGACCTCTCATGTTTGGGGGGGAGTTTATGGGCGCCAGGTTTGTGATGCTGTCTAGAGCCATCTGGGTCCAAGGGAGGGTTTGTCTGATCAGGATACACTGTTGGGATCTCATGTCCACACGTAGCATCTCGCCATGTTTTTTACCGTATTGATGTCGTCATCGAGGAGAGACCAGATGGATGCCATGTACCACAGTGTGGAGAAGATTGTCGTGTTAATTAAAAGCGCTCTTCCAATTAGTGAGGCCTGAGCATTTTTGCATAGGGCCAAGCGGGTGATTGCCCTGGCAATTAGGTTTTGGCCCACTCCTGGCCATACTCCTTCCTTGTTCACCATGATGCCCATGATGCCCAGAAAACGTAATGCTTGCTCTCCCGACGTCCATTACATTGGTGTGGCAGTGTCGGCTGGTTGGGGAGGGGTACCGTCTGCTAGCCCCCAGCCTTCAGTTTTGCCCCAGTTCACCTTCATTTCTGATGCCATTCTGAAGGCTTCCATTGCTCTTACTAGGGCTTGGAAAGAAGAGTTATTATCGTGAACGAGGGCAGTGAGGTCGTCGGCGAACATAAGTGCATTGGGTAGGGCGGTCGATGGATGAATCTTTTTGAAGGAAGGAAGCTACGGCTTTCATAATGAAAAGAAATCTGGGCGGAGCCAGTGGGTGGCCTTGTCTGCCAGATCTAGATATCGCGTAGGTGTCGGATAGGACCCTGTTGACCTGGACCCTGCCTGTAGCATCTGAGTAGAGAACTCTCACCCAATTTCTGAAGTTTGTGCCTACCCCCCATGGAGAAAATCCCAATTGACTTGGTCGTAGGCCTTTTCGAAGTCCCAATCAACTTGGTCGTAGGCCTTTTCGACGTCCCAATTGACTTGGTCGTAGGCCTTTTCAAAGTTGAAAAACAAGATTGCAGCCTTCATTCGTTTCTCCATGATCTTTTTGCTGCCTCGTTCAGCGTCGTCACGTTGTCCAGTATATACTGGCCCGGGATGAAGCCTGCTTGGTCGATGTGGAAGCATTTGTTCGTTAGTTTTGTGATTCTGTTCGCAAGCGCCTTAGCAAGGATTTTGTAGGGTGTGGTGAGCAGTGAAATTGATCTATAGTTCTTTAGGTCTTCTTCAGAGTCACTAGCAAACTTTGGCAAAGTACAGCCCAACAGATGAAACCCAACTGCAGATGACATCAGGGAAGCACCAGGAGTCCAATGGCCAGGCAGAGCAGATGAACAGGGTAGTGCAGCATCTGCTTCGGCATTACATCAAGCCGAGCCAAGAGGACTGTGATGAGAAGTTTCCGCTCATCGCCAGCCTGTATAATGCATAGCACTACCAGCACGACTCCCAACCAGCTACATCTTGGTTGGAAGCCCACATCTGCTCTTGGCTTTCTGTTGCCCAGAAAACAGCCTACAGAAGCACATGGCAGCACTGAATGGGAAGCAGTCTGCCGACCGCCCTGGTTCGGCTGTAGAACAAATTAGAAAAGCCAAGAGCAGGCTGTAGAACAAGTAAGATGCTGCAGCAGGCTGTAGAACAAATTAGAAAAGGTCAACAGGCTATGGTAACAGGCTATGGTGACATCTGAGAACAGACACAGATGGCCATCTGCATTCAAAGTAGGGGACAGGGTATGGGTCAAGTCATCTGAACTGGGACAGGGTATGGGTTAAGTCATCTGAACTGGGACAGGAACTGGGTATCTAGAAAGCTCATGCCACTGTACTTTGGATCCTGGGAAGTTCTGGACATAGTGGGAGATCAACCAGATGGTCCTTCGTATGTCATATCCCTCGTGACCTACGTACACACCCCGTTTTCCATGCCTCCAAGCTTGCTCCTTTCACTGAGACAGGTTTCCCACAAGATGATCTATGCTGCCCCCAACCATGGACATGGACATTAACATGTCATTGTGCACAAGCTGATGCCTGTGCCCAAGCCTCCAGGCTGGGGACGCACTCGGAAACCGCAGATCCAGTACAGAGTGCAGTCCAGACATCATATTGATCCCAAAGAAGACCAGTGGTTCACAAGAGAGGAACTAATGAAGACTCTGCTCCACAGGTTATCCCCGGATATGAGAGAAGGTTGAAAGGGAAGCAGCCTGCTGCTTGGAGATTTCTCAGACTATCGAAGTAAAGGAGGAGGGAGTGTGAGGATTTGAACCCTCAGCATACCTGCATATGGCCCCTACAAGCAAGCATGTGCCCGCCCTAAGTGAAGGCGGCCCCCTAATCTCGATGACGCGTCAATTTGTCAATTTTGCAAAGCCTCGGGGGGGGCAGACAGTTACCACGCGCCAGTCTGTTACATCCTCCCTGCTCGTGAGAATCAGAAATATTCGTGATTCTTCTAGGCTCTTCCAACAACACAGAGGAAGCAGTGAACACCTCTCGTTTGCACTTCGATGGTTGGGCAGGCCTGACCGATTCGGTCCCAGGCAACTGTCTGAATGGGCCTGAGCACAGACACCTTGGCCACCTGAAGCTACTGGGCGCACGCGAGGTCAGGCCAGGCCACTTTGCATATACCGAAGTGTCTGGCCGAGCGTTAGGCATTCGGGCACTTGCAAGTACTAGCGCAGCGCTGCTAGAGCAGTAGCTCGCCCCTGCTAACTGCATGCTGGGTGTTGGAGAGTGAGCGCGGTCGCAAGTGAGTGTGCTGCAAGCAGGCAGCGCCATATCCCAGCCCCCATAGCCGGGCCTAGGCTTGGATCAGCGGGGTTAGACCATAGGCGGGCCTGGGCTTGGATGTTAGCGGGGTTAGGTGGTGGTCCTTGGTGAGAGAGGAGCATGGGGGAGAAGAGCGCGGGGGAGAAATCGAGGGTGAGTAGGGAGATGGCTAGTGGAGAATGATGTGAGAGCAGGTACCTGGTCTTGGCGGATTTCTACATGGTCGACATCTGCATGTACTTCGCTTGCTGCTGCTGACATCAACTGGTTGCTTCATCATTTTGTAGGCTAGTAGAGTAGCTATAGGATCGTAGTCTGGGCGCTGAGTGCCGAAAGTGGGATGAGCTTCAATTGTGCATTGTTCGTGGTGGCACGAGTACGCTTCCATTGACAATTGAGTTTGCTGCTTTGGTTCTCATTCGCTGTGACATAAGTGCATTTGCCATTTCTGCTTTCTGGACAGTTTTCGACTATCTGGCTGTCAGTGTGCCTTTGCAACCTGGAATTCCGTCATATCGCTATTTTGCTCATTTTCCTTGCACTAGCATAGTTGTCACTACGCAATTGCAGAGGTCTAATCCCCCCCAAAGCGAACACAAAGGAACAGCCTGCAACAGTCACCCTCTATACAGGGCAGCATGTGCGCACAAAGTACCTCCTATTGATCATCCTGCGAGACATTGAGGACCTCGCAAAAAGGTCTGTTGAGCACAACATACACAAGATGGGACAACCAGTTTGTTTGCAACAACTGGGACAAGGATGACAGAGAGATGCACGAGGAGAGCATGCCCGTCGACAACAGCCACACAAAAAAGGAATGGAAGCAGAATGAGAAGATTCCAACTGGAATGCATGGCCCCTGTGCACGAATGACAATTCTTTTTTTTAAAACGATACAGAGAAACTTATCATGGAACCTGCGGAAGGATCATAAACATACACAAAAAAAAGGAAGATAAAAACACACTTCATATTCATCATTATTGACATTAGATTAACAATGAAAAAAAAAAAAACGCCGATGGCCAAGGTAAAACCCAAAAAACAAAAGAGTGCAAAAGGACGTAAAGAGTGTGAAACAACCGATCCTTTTAGGAACAGCATCCTTGAGGAGCAACTAGTACACAACAGAATGAAACAAGTCTGCATAATGAGGAGCACCAAAATCACCTCTTCCTCTCATTTCCCACTCCCCCCCCCCCCCCCCTCCCTTCATCCTTTCCTTCTTGTCTCTCCCCTTCCACCCACACCCACCAACTATAAAACACACACACACACACACACACACACACACACACACACACACTTGCCCCCTGTTCACTCGCTCCCGATCCCTGGTCCATCCAATCTTGGCACTGCTACTGTGTTCCTTTGTGTAAGAGACTGGAGAAAACACACAAACCACAGTTTGCAATTCGCCACATGATACTGGAACCTGCAACTCGTCCAATTCATGCCCCATCATCAATGCACGATCAGGCATCAGGCACCGACAGTCGCTTTCACACCACTGCAGCGTGTTCTATCCGTTCTTTCCTTCACCAGTCCAGTAACTCTCTCTCTCTCTCTCTCTCTCTCTCTCTCCCCCTCCACTTTTCAACATAGCAACATGAAAGGAACCCCAGGTGCAACCCACGGCACCCCTGCCTACCACGATCAACTAAGCAACTCCTCCCGTCATAATTTCATAATGTCCATAGCCAGTTATTACAGAAGGGTTACGACTGCCCCCCTCCTCACATAGAATCTGTTCATTCTCCCTGCCCTGTCATAGATTCCGGAACCTCACCGGAACCTCAATCAAACCTGTGACCTGGAAATGAAGAAGTTTACACATACCTGCACAACCTAAGCATCTTGTACAATGCGATCGGCGTTAAACAGCAAGCAAGCAAGCAAGCAAATCAAGAGGATATTCCTCCTCTAAATGGACTAAAGGGCGCGAAACACACGTACATCCTGCTGCTGCGCCACTGCCCCTCGTTGAGGGATAATATTTCCCCCCCCCCCCCCCCCAACCACAAGGCAAGGCAAGGTATAGATAGGCAAGGCAAGTCCCTGCCCACCTACCACATCCGTCTTCGTCACCGCGGAGCAGGACAGCCTGCCAAAACACCTACCATCATCTGCTCCGATGTGCGTGTTCCCTTATCTCGCCCCCCTCTCCCCAACCATTCCCCCCCTCCCTCCCCCTCCCCCCTCCCCCTCCCCCTCCCCCCTTCCGCTTCCAAATTCTCCACGAATTCTTGACACAATATACACAACAGGCCTTTACCTGCAGAGCACACTCGCCACAACCGCACACCAAACAGGAAAGCGATCAAGTAATTCACCCTTCAGGCCTGCACGGCAGCCCAGGCATATGAGAAGTAGCGAAGTCGAAGAATGCTTGGACCGCCGTATAAGCAAACCCGACATGGGATATGGGCTCAAACCGCTGGCAGTTAGGGATTGGAACAGATCATGGAGGGGGGGGGACGGGTATGTATGTGGCCTCCTGCCCACCACCCACCTTTCACTGAAGTTACTCATTTCGCCTCTCCATTTTACGATCCACACCTCCGTAGGGTACACGACAAGCACCATTGCTGAGGCGAGGGAATCATGCACCCGCCTGGATTCTGTACATGCAACTACTCTCCCGGGACGAACTCACATAGTCATCTGGTGAAATGTGGGGGTTTCTGCAGATTTGTGCACAGGGAATGCCGGAATGAATCCAAAACAATGAGCTCTTCGCCTCGTCCTCCTCGACTCACCAGGTTTTGTTTCTTCCATTGCCACTTCCAGTGCTTGGCATATGCCCTTCTTGCACCCCCTCGACTAAGGCCTTCATATACCGGACACCGATCACTTCAGCATGTGAACCCTGCACTGCCACTCACTTGCGATGACCGGTCTCTCTTTTGACGATGAAATCACGAAAAAAGCTCGTCCTCAGCGACTTCCTCACTTCATATACCCCACCCAGCCAACCAATGCGTTTCCTCCCTCCCCTTTACTTCCATGACAACCTGCGAGTGCTGCTACACCTAAGTCCACAATCACACAGCATCGTCAATCTCCCACACTTTTTCACAATCCCCGAACATTTTGGCACATGTCACAGACTTCAGCTGCCATCGGATTCCCATACGTGCAACGACCACATGTCCAATATTCTGGCTCATCCCCCCCCCCCGTCCTTCGCGACGCCGAGCCCGATGCGCTCCCTCTTCTACTCCCATTGAGCGATTTGCTCACCGTCAACTTGCTGGAGCCAATGCCCTTCGAGCTCCCAGACCTTGAAGGACTGGGTGCGGGATCAACGTCCGAGAGACCATTCTCTAAAGCCCTTACAAGGTTCTGGAAGTATATGCGAGTCACACTGCACACGACAAGTGCCAAGGGATGGGAATGTGAATCAGTCAGGCGGAAGCTGGGCCCCGCCTTTGGAATAAGGGCACAAGAGGTGAACACAGACAGTTACAAGAACAGGCCTGGCTCAGTTGGTACACCCATGAACAGTTGAAATATAGACCTGAGTTCAAGCCCAGATGGAATGAGATGGACAGAATAGAACAATTCTGAATTACGTCCCGCCTTTTTAACAAGGGCACAAAAGGTTAAAACAGACAGTTAGAAGAACAGGACTAGCCCCGTTGGTACACCCATGCCCGGAGTTTGCAACCAGATGAACATAATACAATAATTCTGAATTACCTGGGGCGGGACGGGTCGGGTCGAGTCACTGCACGCGTGCCAAAGGATGGGAATGCCAGCCAGTTAGGTGGAACTTGGGCCCCACCTTTTGAACAAGTGCACAAAAGGTAAACACTGACGGTTATAAGAATGGGCCTGGTGCAGTTGGTACACCCATGAACTGTTGAAATCCAGACCCAAGTTCAAATCCAGATGCAATCAGAGGACAGGAAGTCACAGAATACGATCATTCTAAATGATCTGGGGCGCACGAGTTCAATCATGGTGTCTCAAGACCATCTGCCTTTTAAAACATAATAATAAAAAAAGACTTGTCATGCACACGTGACGAAGGACAAACGTCAACGAGTGTGCAAAATGTAAACTCTCGCAGTTATAAGAAAGCGTACTAAACTTTTCATTAAAGCAAGCTGCACATGCTTTCTGACCTGCACTTGGCCCTCACTCCATTACATAACACTAACCCTCACAATCGTTCCGGTACATAATCATCCCGATACATTCAAAATCTTGGACATCGTCCCACTGCACCCCGTCCAGAAATCAACAAAATGTGTGTAAATTGTCGAGTAGCGGACCGAGGCCTCCTCTTGCATGCACACGAGGGTAGGCATATTATTCGACTAGCTGTCTTTCTGCCTCATTTCTCACGCCGAGTGTGCATGACCGCTTGTGGACTAGCTAAGCTCATTTCTTGTCTTCCTTTTTCTCTGTTGTTTCACAATTGGAAATATTGTTAAAATTTAAAAATCACAAAATGTGGAAACATTTTCAATTCCTCTGTGACATGCTTCTGCATGGGCATGCCAATGTTCTTCGCGTAGTTCCACCTAAGGACCACCTTCCAATCAAACCACCACTCCATCCGGACCTGTCTTGACAAACCAGAAGTTGCATTGCCCTGAGCCTAAGATCTACAGTGCAGCCCTGGGGAAAAGTAATTATGGTGCCAAGCCTGCGTACCGTAGATTTGGGCCCGGTGCTTATAGACAAGAAAAATGAATAGTGCACGGACCGTTGGAGTGGTGGTTTAATACCACCATGAAGGGCACTGCAGAGAAAACACCTGCTCAGACATAAAACACCTTCATTTTATTCCCAAGAGACCTTTTGGCACCTCTCGAGACATCCGTTAAATTTGGAACAATACAGAGTTGACTGGCATGGCCACCGTGCAAGGATGACGCACATAATTCGAGAAATGGTCCAAATTTGGAAAAAAGAAAGAAAAAGAAATATGTTGGCGTTGTGAACCTCACCTTGTCAGGCCGGCAAGCTTTGTGCGGAACTCGTTGAAGTTCGATTTCGGCCCATCTGCTTGCAGGAAGTCCTTCAAATCCTTTTCTGCGCATTCCTGCAACCTCTCAAGCCCATGCTCTGCCTCCCCTGTTCACAGAATGAGAAACAAATATCAAAGCCTCAGATCTAAGCAAAGCATATCGACAGCTATGAAACCTTTTCCCGCAAAGATAAATATCTGCTCAAGTCCTTCAGTGCATCCGTCAAAATTGGAACGATACACAGAAGATTAGCATGTGCCCTGCACAAGGATGACTGACACACGTACATCGAGAAAATATATGCTCAAGAGTCGAAACATATACGCCATCAACAAGGCTGCCATCTAACAGACGGGAACGAATCAGGTCCAGACCAGTCTCTCACTCCACAACACAAACCACTCTTTCCCTTGAGTCATCAGTTCCACACAATCCTACCAGTGGGTCCTTGCAAGTCCCATAACGTACTCACCGATCCGTTCATCGTCTTCATCATCAGCCTCTTCCCCTCCTCTGCTTGGAGGTTGTGACGGATAGAACATCACCTGTGGCCAGCTGCCCTTGCTGATACCATCAAACACGCCCTTCTTGGCAATACACACTCTTTCTCTGCCCCTGCTATATGCTCGTTGATGGGTACTTAGGGCACAGTACCAACCTCTACACGTGGCTAATTCACGTGTCTCACGAACCTGCCTGCCCCTTTCTTTTCCCCCCTCCCGGTGTCTTATCATCCTTGTTAGAAGTTTTAGCTACAGTGTTATGATCCTGGCCAAGTTCTAGATACACATTCCTCAAATAATACAATGTCGTCCACTTGCAGAAAGGAATGAATGAACTTGAGAGGAGAGAGAGGGTTAGAAGAAAGAAGTAAGAAAGAGGAAGAAGATGATGTACTCCAGCATAGACGAATGAAAATGCTCTTCTTCTTCGCCAATAACTCTCCTCCTCCTTGTCTCCTCCTCTCATATTCACACAAGAAATAATAATACAATGTCGAATGGCTGAGCCAGAATCAATGTCCGAATCCCTCTTCTACTGCAGGTATCACATGAGGTCCATCATAGCCATGGCCACTCTTCTTCCTCCTTTGTCCAAGGCCGAGGCTACGACGGACTACTAGGGCCTGGCCCTGATGTCCAAGGGACAGCCCAAAGCAGCTATGGCTGCCTTAGCTCAGGCCGCCATGCCTGACTCTGCCTCAACGCTTCTTGGTGTAGCTCTGCCCCAATGGGCCTTCCTGCTGCAGCGCCCACCAAGGTGATGAAGGTGGCTGCCGCCATAGCCAGGTAAGTACCTCTGGTGCTCCTCCCTAGTCCTGGCCTTCTTCCTCCTCCATGTCCTTGCTCCTTCCCCGGCAGCACTGCTGAATGCTAGTGCTGCTCCAGCCAGCGCTCCAACCAGTGTGTCGCCAAAGTTGCACACCGACAATGAGGCTCGGCCTGGAGATATAGCGGCCTGCTTGCCTCTTGGGCGGTGACTTCCAGGCCACTCCGCTTTCCAAGGAACTGGTACCTCCTCCCTTTCGGAGGGAAACATCGTTGCAGACTGTGATATTGCCCGTACAGTCCCTAGACTCAGACAGGTTGGACTGGTACCCGCCCAGACCTAGCCTACAACTACTGGGCCTCTAAAAATGCCAACTTTTGTCTTCTGCTCGGCCTCAAGTACCAGGCACATCTGACCTCTTCAGGGTGCGGTACCGGCCTACCTGCTACTTGAGTGTTTCCTCGCTGCTTCAAGTGTTGCGGGCCTCTTCCCCCGCCACTGGAGTGTTTTCCCCTCTGCAATCCTCAATGCCACGGCCACAGGTAAGTACCCGCCCTGCGGGCCCAATGAACGAGCAAGTGCCCTTGCGCGTCACACACACACTCTAGCCAACAAGCACTCAGACAGACATGCAGACCAGCAAGCGTGCACACACACGGACTTAGAGAACTCAGTAGCAAGCGGGAAACTCCGCAAGGCATTCAGTCCATGAGCAAAACTCAGAAACCAGCTGTGTGTCTCAGTCCGTGTTTGGTCAGGTCATCACAACAGCTACAGAACATCACCGCATACTGACTATCCCCATGCCTACTGTCTTCAGACTGTTCAGCCCAACAGAGCGCCCGGTCTTTATCACAGTATCTGGCCTGAACATTGCTCCAAATACAGCTATAATAACCGGGTGTTCTATTCGGACAAAGCTAACGGTAACTATAGACTCTTGTGCCCAGTCATCACTACCTGTCTCCCCTGGTCCATCTTTTGCTCTCTCTCCCCAACTGGCCAAAACATGGCAAGCTTTAACAATTGCCACACTCTGTGCAGTTGCACAGCATCGTTCTTTTCTTTTTTTTCTCTTGTTATTTTTTACAGTGGCAACTTGCACGACCGATTTTCAACACTGTGAGTGGAGCTGTTGGGTAATTGTGAATGAGACACACATATTATAACATATGACATTTTGCTTTCTTTTACGTTGATATTCCTAGTCATGCAGTCCGCTCGGATTTCCAGCATATGGGTCCGCTGGCCGGGTTAATGCATCACTTGCAGAATAATGCATACTCAACCAGTTTCAGCCTCTGGGTTTAACAAAAGCCATAGGGCCTTGCTGCACCACCCGCCAAACGCAAGCATTTCCAATGTGTTTTTACCGCTTTGTGATTGGCCCAGATCCACTCGAAATATTGCCTCTTTGCGAGTGGTGCGGCCCGCCCCATAGGGACACTTACACCCATTCAATAATTGCCAATACGTAGAAAAAGAAGGGGAAAGTAAATGAAAGATGTGATCGTGGGCGTAATCGACTACCATCTTCACTCGAATACTTTATGTGGTCAGTGTTGCTGCATCTAGACTCAAAAGTTGCCCCCCATACAGCTATAATGACCGTACGTTCTATTCGGGTGATGACGGTAGGCGTTGTTTGTCAAGACGTCGACTTGTACACTCACCCAACCAGATGAAGCAAACTTTCGCCCCTGGACCTTCATGCATGCCTGCTCTCTCTCAATCCTGAGAGATGCACTAGGATTTCTAAAATGCAGGAACATTTCTAAACAATGTTTCAAAGAGGCCATAATCAAGACACTGTCAGGAAGACCTGTTTGCCCGAAACACGGTGCTCTCTGGGCCGGTGCCACACCAACTAGAGGTAGATGCGTCGTGTACTCGATGCCGAGCAGACGAAGACAAAGTTGGCATCCGTAGTTGTAGGCTAGGTCTAGAAGTACCAGTCCGAGTAGTCGGAGTCTAGGGCCTGAACGGGCAATATGAGAGTCTGCAATGATGTTTCCGTCCGAAAGGGAGGAGGTACTGGTTGCTTGGAGGCTGCGCGGCCTGGAAGTCACCGCCCAAGAGACAACCAGGCCGCTATATCTCCTGGAGGAGTGCTCCTCATTCTACGGTGTGCAAGTTTGGCGACACACTGCTTGGAGCGCTGGCTGGAGCAGTGCTGCCGGGGAGGATGGAGAGCCCAGCTCCCCACCTTGTTATGGTGGAGCAGCACGGGCTGGAGGAGGGAGACGAGCACTAGGAAGGGGGAGCGCCAGAGGTACTTACCTGGCTATGGTGGAGCCATCTTCATCACCTTGGTGGACACTGCATCTGGAAGGCCCCAGTTGGGGTAGAGCTACACCAAGAAGCTTTGAGGCGGAGTCAGGCATAGCGGCTGAGGTAGAGCAGCCATAGCTGCTTTGAGTTTTCTTTTGCACATCAGCGCAAGGCCCTAGCAGTCCGCCATCGCCTCGGCCTTCAGCCAAAGGAAGGAGAAGGGTGGCCATGGCTATGCTGGACCTCATGTTGTCCCTGCAGTAGAAGAGGGATTCGGACATTCATTCTGGTTCAGCCATTCAACATTATTATTACTATTTATTTGTTTGAATAAGAGGGGAGCAGAAAGGGAGGAGGAGAGTGGTTGGCAAAAAGAACGGAATTATCATTGGTCTTTGCTGGTGCACATCTTCTTCTTCTTCTTTCCCTCTCTCTCCTCTCAAGTTCATTCATCTCTTTTCGCAATTGGACGGCATTGTGCTTTCTCATGAATGTGTTCTTCTAAATTGGCCAGGATCATAACACACAAGTCAAGTACCACTACTTAAAGAAAAGGAGGGGGGAGGGGAGCACACACAAAGACAAAAGATGACCTCACCTTGGAGGTACTCGAAAAAATCACGCTTTCCTTGCTCCTCCACCTTTAGGTAGTAGCCGTACGCATACGTCCACTTCAGAACACGCCTGCACTCGACCACCTAATCAAGTACGTACACAGCCATAGCAGCAATGAATGTGAATCCACCTCAGGATGATAGCCATTGTTTGTTTGTTTGTTTGTTTGCTTGTTTGTTTGTTTGTTTGTTTGTTTGTTTTCTTGTTTGTTTGTTTGTTTGTTTGTTTGTTTGTTTGTTTGTTTTTCCTTGGGATTTGAATGCGAATTTTGGGACGACTCTCACGCCTATGTTGCTCGTATTGCAATGATACATAACATTTTTTATTTTCAGGTTTTTTTAAGGGTTTTTCTTTTTTTCTGCCTGTACGGAAACAGAATCAGTTTCATAATCAATTCGATTAAATAATCAAAATAATCAATTTCATTTCCACACACTTGCTTTTCAGCTTGTGCAAAAATGAAATCGATTAACGTAATCAATTCCCTTTCCGCATGCAGAATAAAACCAGGGCCGGCGGTGACACACACACACACACACGTACTGCTGCTGCAGCATTCCACAACCTCACAGTCAAACCCACATACGGACACACACACTCTACTGCTGTGACATACCGAGTCGCACACACTTGCACACATGCTCCTACACAAACCCCCCCACACACTGTCACCCTGCTGCAGACATATATATCAGCAGACATTTTGTCGCAGGAGGTTAGTCATGGGAATACAGACACAAGCACATGATGTTGCTGCAGCATTGTTGCTGCGACAGGTCTGCCGCCTGCTGCAGAAACTTCATGTGTGTGTCTGTATGGTGTTCTTGAAGCAGGTCACAGACATGCCGCAGCAACATCATGTGTGTGTGCGTTCCGATGGATTCTGCAGGAAGTAGCCTCATGCTACAAAGGCTTGAAAAAAAAGAAATGTTATGAAGAGAATGTGAAGTCGTTCGCTGCTGAAGGCGATAGACCTGCTGCACCAGCATCGTATGTATGGATCTGTATTCTCATGGCTACTGCAAGAACTAACCTCATGCAACAAAAGGTCTGTTGATCTAGAGCTTCTGTTGCATCGGAGCGAGCTGGAGGGGAGAGGAGAAGAGCACAGAACAGTGGGGGCAAGCGCCGGGGCACGAACAGCACGAAGGAGCAGGGAGTAGAGAGGCGGTATCGACAATTCACTTCCCCACTGCCGTCCCCCACCAGTCAACTTTTCCCACTCTCGTCTTTTTGTCCAGTGTCGGTCACCTCTCTCTCCCTGTCTCAACCCTACCCACGCGCCTTCTTCCCTTTCTTCCTTCTCCATTGCCTCCCTTCCGCCTATCCTGATGCCATCTTACAACTTGTGCCCTCCATTCCCTCTACCGACCTTTCCCACAACAATCTACTTTTCCCACCCTCTTCTCTCCTTGGCCTGTGTGCAGGTATGGCATGCGAGTCATATGGGCAAACTCTAATCCTCCCCCTTCCCCTGCCTCCCCCCCTTGGCCCACTCTCTCTCTCTCTATCATGGAGAAGCGTGAAGCAATATGTGTTACACTGAATGAAGTTTAACGCCTGAACGAAACCACAAATGTACAGTGTGCAGGTACCGCATGTGTGTTAAACTGAATGAAGTTTAACGCCCTTGAAGTCGAAAGTGTTAGCCCAAATACCCAACGCCCTGTGAGGCTGGCACCCTGTTAAGGTTGATGCAATCATTTTCGGCAACCGAATGAAAAAACGGCTGCCATCGGCCATACATCCCACAGCTTTTCCCAGCCCTATCCCAGATGTGCTCAAAGCTTCTGCCGGTGCTCCCAGAAATCCAGCAGTGAAGCAGTGTCAGCCCGTCGTACGGGGGGGCGGGTAGTATGTATTACCGTACTTACAGACTTTGGGGCTGGAAATCAGCACCTTCGGGGGGCGCTCTCATGAGATTGTAGGCCGCCTGGGGGGGGTGCAGGTGTCAGGGGAGCGCCCCCGATGGGGAAAAAAAAAAGAAAAAAGAAAAAGGGAAGGGTTAAGTCGATTAGTGGTAATTGTTTGTTTGATTGATTGACTGATTGTTTAATGGACAAGAACAAAAAAGAAAGAAAGAAAATATCATGCATGAAAAAAAAAGATTAGACTCATTGATCGATTCATTGATTGATTGATTATGACTGAGGGGTGGGCGGGGATTGGGCGAACCTCTCCCAATGTTACATCTTCGACTCACACGGGTCCTACCGGACCCGACTTAGGGCCGGAGGAGCACACCAGGGCCTAAAGGCCCGACCTTTGGGGTTACAGGCCCTAAAGGCCTGATCTTGGACTGTCACCCATCGGGTAGGCCCAAACGACACTTCGTTTGGGCCTGGCGGCGCTCTTGAAGCTGCCGCCCGCCGATTGAGGCTGAACCGTCCATCTGGACGGTTCAGGGTCTGGCCTGGCCTCGCAGCATTGAGGCCACCGGTATCCGCCTCAGTTGAGGGATCGGCCTACCGGCACTCTACCGGCACGGCATGGTCAGTACTAGTGTACTGTTTGGATGCGCTAAAATTAGCGCAGGGGCTGAAGCAGGAGCGCAGCATAGCGCAGCAGCGAGCGGAGCAGCAGCAGGGCGACTGAGCCAGCACGGCGGCCATTGCCGCCTGAGGTACCGGGAGCTTGAAGGGTCTCTCCACCTCTCCCTCGCCAGTCCCCTCTCTCCCTCTCTCCTCTTCCTCCTCCTCCTTTTTCTTCTTCTTCTTCTTCTTCTTCTTCTTCTTCAGATTGGAGACTATCCAGTTGGACAGAGATCGGAGTTGGATTTCGGTGATACGAGACTGTGGTACTTACCTGATTGGAGACTTGGAGATTGTTGAGGTTGACACTCGGCTGCATCACAGTTGGACACCGGTTACATCTGGACTCGGTTATCTCCGACACTGGTGACCTTTGGTCCTCGACATTTTGATCTTGTTATATGACATTCTGGACTACCATTTCGGAGACCTACCAGACTCTATCTTGTGACCTATCGGTGTGATCTACCTCCTACCTCCTTCGTCTCTCCTCCCACCTTTCATCTGTGTATGTG